GATTCTCAGGAAAACTTCTTCTATCCAGAATAAGGTGGGATGCTTGGATAGAAGAAGTTTTCCTGAGAATCTTCAATCTTCAATCTTCTATCCATAGGGGCCCTTTATTCAATTGAATAAGGAGCTTATTCAATTGACTTGGGGGAGAAGGAATTCAAGCCTAAGCCATAGCCACGCAATCTTTTAAGTGGACCCTCGATGCTAGCCAAGGGGCCTAGCATTCAAGGATTTAATGTATTCAATCTCTCCAGCATGCGGTAAAGGCTGGAGAAACTTGATGAAATCAACAAATTAGATATTCAATTTATGTAGTCAATTTGGTTCTACTAGCTTTTTTGGATAAATTGTACAAGTTACATGAGGTACTCGATTTTTGTAGTCTATTTATTCTATTTAAGTAGACCCTGGGCTTTTATAGGGTGCTTTTGAGTATTCTTGGGTGCCCTGAGTGACAGATTCCTGGCTGCCGAAGGCAATTCCATTCATCAAACATTATACGGCTGATTGTGCATACTCGGTACAGTGGATGGATCTGAAGAACCTGCCTGCCGAGTTACTTTCTCCGATGAGACTTGTACGCTTTTCGCAGATGATACTGGTTCTTTTTGTCCAAACTATTTGAAGAGACCAGCACCAGTTCAATGGCTACGGTTGATGAACATGTAGCAAAGCGGGCATAGACCCAGGTCATGTCAATGCGTATCTGGACTTTATCTGTACGTAGGCCCCGGTCGCGCGATACACCCTACGACTAGTTTGTCAACTCTTTGGTTGGAAATGGCTACCGACCAAGGGGAGTAAGTATGTCTCACATGTCCGGAGGCTGTTTTTTTCTGGTTCGAAACGAAAACAACTGCCTAATGTGTGTTGCATTGCATTACTTGCAGTCTGTGTGCCAAAAACTACTTGGGCTACGACGACAATGTCATACACATAGTGGGCGCTATCCGAGCTGTGTGAAAAAAAATCCTGGAGGCAACGCAACTGCCTGGTTGGAGGGGATTTGGTGGAGGGCTGGCAGGCCGGTGTGTGGTTGACTGAAGGGCTGGCTTGAAGGAATATTGAAGAGCAACAGGTGTAGTAAAATAAACGAGCGGATTATTGAATTTGTGAAGTTCGGGGGAAAGAAATAATTATGTAATTTGAGTTCGGGGATCTTTGAATAGTTTCAAAAAAGGTAGAACAGTCGCTTAATTGGCGGTGTCCTTCTCGAAATATGAAGAACTGTCGTCGCTTTTGGACGCTCCTTGTCGAGAAATGTAGAACTGTCATTGAACTGGAATGGGGTTGTTGTTGTTGTTGACAAATGAGTAACATTTTTTTGTGCTAACTTGCTTGGTGAGGCCCCGAAAGCAGCAACGGCCAAGCGCAGAGCGGAGATGCCTTCTGGGATTCTGATGCGGGGTCCGTGGTGGCCCGAGCGGCTGAAAACCGTCCGCTTTCTCGAAGCGGCCGAAATCAGAGAAACCCCGCCGCCAGCAGAAGATTCCAAACCTACGCCTTTGCAAGACTTGAAACCAGCTCCTTTGCAAAGCTCAAGCTTCGGAGATTCTCTTGTCTGCATCTCCTTGTGGAGGATGCGCCGGCCAATATCCTTAAGACTTCTCCGATGCCAGTGCAAAGTGAAAACCGCCAAAACGTGAGCCTTTCCAGTTTCTTGCGTATGCCAGAAAATGCGCGATCGAGCCCAGCCTACACCGACGCGTTTTGGAGCGAGCGTACTTCCTCTACGAGAAGGGCAATTCTGACGATGCCTGAGAATCGAACTA